TTATTATGTCAAATTATAGGCAACGCTAGCTGCAGTAGTATGCGATATCTCCAGTTACCAGATGTCGCAATACTGTTTTCGCCTCCACATCCGTTAATACCTGTAACTGTTTAGTCACGAACCTCTTTTTTCTACCATCTATAGAACGATAATGAGCTCTTGGATTATAGTGCTCTCAGCGTTTTTCGTTGGCCTTGGTGCTATTCAGATACGAAATACCTCAATGACTGGCAATCAAGATAGAGATGAGGAGGACGAGGGGCACTGGGTAAAGAAAGATCTGACAATAGCCTGGATTGCAAAGCCTCCATACACGCCATCAGCTGCCAATGGATCACAAGACGACGAGGGTCATGTTCTGATCAGGAACGTGCTATATCCGCACATATTGTTAGAATGCGGAACCTTGAAAGGCGTTCGCTACCAGTTTAAAACATTTCGAGCTGACAGTGAATTTCACATGCTTGAGCTCCTAAGGCAAAACAAAGTCCACGTCGCTGCTCCTATATTCGAACCCACAAACCGACGGTACAGAGAATTTTCCTTTTTCAAAATCACTGATTATCCTGGGAGCGAATACATCACCAGTGAAAATGAAGCCAATAAGCTCAGCCTTGTCTTGGACGCAGTGCTGGAGTCTTGGTCATTGTTTGCGGTGACTCTGATACTCACAGCCATTGCTGGAGTCATTATGTGGGCGCTGGTATGCGTAACTTTGTTTACTTAGATTAGTATAGGTACCGTAGAATTCCGAAAGAAACGCCCCTCCTTCCCCGAAACCAATGGCCCACCCGAAAGTAGCGCGGCCCTTCGAAGAAGGAAGAAACCCTCTGATCTCCGTCAAGCGTAATGGAAGCGATGGAACAGCCTGGCTGCAGGACGAAACAACTTGAAAAGTTAATGTGATTTTATTTTGAACTAAACTGAATTTTTCTTGTTAGTTAGTAACATAAATAAACGGAATTTTTAATTTCATTTATACGCGTCCGCCTTGTCCAAAAGGACTGTGAATAACCGTACAGACGTTTTTTAAACCATTTGAGAGTAAAGTAGCGGTCTTGTTTGGCTGCTAAAATCCCAAAGTATGGGGGGGGGGGGGGGGGGGGGGCTTTGGAGAT